AAACAGTGAATTTTTCTTATAGTCTCAGACTGGTCAATTCAGTCTGTATTCTGACCAGAAATAGATTAGTAGTGTGGTATAAGAGAGTGAGGGAATTAAATGAGGGCGGCCTCAAAGATCAATCAGAGGTCTCACCTTTTCTTTCACTTCTGTCATTGGGGAACAGAAAGCACAGCCAGCACCTGTCTATTGCAGCGACATGATTACAGTATAGGCAGGCACATTGTCAGAGACAAAAGGGTGGATGGAGGTGATAGCTGGGAAATTATTCAGAAGCTCAGAGAACGAAAGAATCGTATAGTAGAGAGAGAATAAAGGGTTTGAGCATGGAAAAAGGAGACAGAGTAAGTCTGTTCTCAGGCGACAGGTGGGGTAAAGTTGTGTTAAGCTGAGATCAGAGAGGGGGATCAGTCCACGCATCCTCTGTGTGCTGAGTGTCATGTTTTTTACAGCAGGGAGTGGGGAGTCAATAAACAGCCGTTCCTTCCTCCTCCACATCGCTTTCGTCTAGTGAGTAAGTGAATGTTGAGCCTGAAAGAAGCAGCTTTTAGAGGGGTTACATGTGTATACAAGTGAAGAGGCAGATTTTTTACAAAAATATGGGATAACCATACCATCATCATAATATTATTATGCAAACTAAGAGCAGCACAGTGGTATTGTGATTAGCACTGTCGCCTCCTGGGTTTCGACATTTCAGTTCGGTTCAGTTCAATTCTGCTTTTGAATGTAGGTTTATTTATATAACACCAAATCACAGCAACTGTTGCCCCAGAGTGCCTTATACTCAAAGGTAAAGACTTACAATATTCTTGAGAAAACCCCAGCAATCTAATGACCCCTTAGAGCAACCGTCTTGAGATGGTAGGAAGGAAAATCTCCCTTTTAACAGGAAGAAACCTCCAGCAGAACCAGGCTCAGTGAAGTTCAGTCATCTGTCTTGACCATATGGGTGGTGGGGAGAAAGGAGAGTATAGGGAGACAGGACAAAAGACAGACTAACAAAGAGAAAAATTTAATGGCATGCTGCAGTGGTAGCACGTGGGACGTGAGTAGAGAATAGGTGCTCAGTGTTCTCTACTAACAGTATTACTGGAGGCCAAGGTAATGTCATCCAAAATAAGAATATCTTTTCTAAGATTTTTTAGGAAAAAAACTTGGTTTTGTCTGAATTTGAGAGAAGAAAATTATGGAACACCCAGGCCTTTATATCTTTGAGTCATGCACATAGTTGAACAAATTGCTTTGTCATCCTTCTTCATAGATAGATATAGCTGAGTATCATCTGCGTAGCAGTCAAAATATATACAGTTTTACACTGCCTGAACCCTGTGGAACTCACATGTAAAGAAGACTCCCCATTTACATGAACACATTTAATGTAAATGCTCTGAAAGTTTCAAAGATTTCAGAGCATTTCCTTTAATGACTTTTCTAATGCCGGGCTCTAATCTGTGATAGACTGGTGACCTGCCCAGGGTGTACCATGCTTCATGCTCTATCACACACACAGGATAGGCTCCACCACACCTTGGAGCCCAATAGTATTATGAAAACTAATACATTATCTAGTTAACTAAACTTTACCTTTCCCAGAGGAGAAAATAACAACATTCGAGAAAGTCTGCTTTAAAATTAAAACAAAAAGTTTAATTTAACAGGGTTGGTTTAAACATCAAACAGTGTACTGAAGCACAGTTTTCCACTCTGGTCTGCTGCAGCCCATGTGCCTCTGAACATATAGTAAAAAAAAAATAAACTGGGGGTTGGGGGTCAGTGGGGGATTTCTGTAGATCTAGGCCTAGTAAGTCAAATAAGTCATTGAGAAAATGTGTTTTTTTGTTTGTTTGTTTTTTTGTTTTTTTGCAAGATACAGAAAGGAATCCTGTGAATGACTGATATTTGAACATTTACTATCATTTCAGTCCAGCTGGCTGCTTCTCAAAGTGCCCCAGGTTACACCACCATGACATGTCCCCATGCCAGAGTGGAATATAGTTGGAGGAAGCAGACTACATCATTTAGCAGACTGTCTGCTGGCTGCAACATCACACTGGCGTATCCTAGCAACCAGTTTAGAAGAAGGGCTCACTCAGGCAAAGCTTCAGTTCCACCTGGTGATCTCTGAGGAGCGTGTGTGCGTGTGTTTGTGTCCGTGTGTGTGTCTGTTGGCTTGCTGGGATAATGGATGAGTGTTGTAGAAATGAGTGTGCTGGCTCAGTCCTGCAGGGAAGATCAATATCAACTATACATTCATCTCTAATTACCACAGCAGAACTTAGAAGGGATCTCTTTCTTTTTCCTTCCCGCCCTCTTGTTCTCTTTCACAACCTCTACTTGGTCCTTTTTTTTTTTCGCCTTTTATTAACTCCCACTTCTTTTTTATCATTCCTTTCCTCTGTTTTAAAATATCAGTTTGTCCCTCTACTTAGTTACTGGTATGAGGGGGAATGAAAATATGTTGCCCTTGGTGTGGTACATAAGTTACAGACCAGTATTTCTGCTTCCCAATTTCTTCTCTTTGTGTCAGTGGACTTCGTGTCGGTGTGTGTTTGTGAAACAAAGTCTTTCACTCCTGTCCTTTCTTCCCATTCCCTGTGTCCACACTTCATTGTGTAATTTATGAAGAAAGAACACAAAAAAACTAAATACCCAGTTGGTTATGTGGCCCTTTGTCCTTTTTGTTCCCTTTCCCAAGACTCCACAACCTCACAATGATGACAGCTAAGGCTCATTTAATGAAATGTCCCCATACTCTCTCTCTTTGTCAGTGCTCAGCATTGGGGAAGGAGGTTTCTGGGAAGGCACAGTCAAAGGGAGGACAGGATGGTTCCCAGCAGACTGTGTGGAAGAAGTGCAGATGAGACAATATGATCCACGACTAGGTAAGACATCTACATGCACACTGACACATACATGCATGTGCATACTGTGCACTGATGGTGTCAGAGTCTGACAAGTTATTATAATCTTGCTCTAATGGTCAGAGTCCTGTGTAGCTCTCTTTGTGGAAACAATAGTGTAACATCTGTGTCTCTGTGATGTAATCATCAATTAGTTGGAAATACCCTGAAACCAGAAATGAAAAAAGGTGCACTATAAATTAATTGGCAATTACATTTTTTAAATTGACTGTAAACTGCTTTCATTCTAATCACTTTCTTGATTTTTTTTTTTGTCATTTAAAATTTCAGGCTTATTAATTAAACACCTGTGCCAACTATAGAAATTCTGTGAAAAAATATCTCTCCTGTAACCATCGCCTGCTGCCTAAAATTAAATATTGATCTTAATGATAAATTCTGAGAGGATTTAAGTAATTTGGGGAATACTGAACAGCAAAAGCCAAAGTAATAATGATATTTTTTATGCATGTGTCCACAAAAAGCATCACCCACCTCTGGCAGTGTAAATACAGTGTTAAGGAGCAATAGTTACAGAGAGGATACTTGGGCTGAAATGGGTTAGTCACTGAATCCACTTTGACTTCAGGTTGGCCATATTTTTGCTGCATGTCAGTCCCCTGCTGTCTGTATGTCTACCCTGCACTTTGTAAATAAATGCAAAAATAAAGCCCGTGTTTGTTGAGGCAAGGGTTTTAAGCACCCAGTTGTACTTCAGAATTATACTTCAAAAGTAAAATTTGCAAATAAATAAGTAATAACAAATAGTAAAAAGTTTATTTGTTCCATATTCCCAACTGTTGCAAATATTTACAGCTGCTTTGACAGTAAAACTGTATCATCAATAAAATATTCTTACAGTAGCAGCTGAGGTAAATCTTTTGAAAATGTCTAGGCTGCCTGGAAAGACGGTTATGCCGATGCCAGAGACAGTATACTGGCAACAGAGTACTTAAATCTAACCTTCCCTTTTCATTAGTTGACATTTGACTGTTGAGTTTTCCACCAAAGATTTTCAAGCTTTTAGGGGCACTTGATTAGTGCATAATTAAATGCAGGTGTACTGCAAAGCCTGGATGGTTTAGCCTGCATTAGAACATGTAGTCAGGGTTTGGATCAGAGGAAAATTCTCATGAAATTTAGCAGTCGACTACAAGTTAATGGCAAATGCCTCCTGTATATTTTCCTTATTTAAAAAGGTTTGCTTTTAATTTTCAGTCTTAAAAAGTGTAAAAGCATTGTGTAATAGAGCTGTATGTGAACGATGTGTTATCATTTGTGGAAAGCCCAGATGAACAAAAACATACATAAGCATTAGTGGTGACAGACCTAGTTTAGTAAATTAGAGTTTAAGTAGTATTTCATGCTTATCTATTAGTTTTGTTAAATAATTAACCAAAACTTTGAAAATTGGTTTTGTATGGGAGTTTTATGGAGGTGAATAATTCAAACACGTGTAGCCAAACATCTTTTAGTCTCTGTAGTGACACTTGTTGTGGCTGAAGGATTCATGTTTTCAGACTGTCAGTTGGTACATCAGTCATATAGGCCAGGATCACACTGAGCTCACAAAACGTGTTTTGCTAACCATGATGAAATTTCACTCAAATGTCTAGTGGGGGAGGATGATAACATAAAGATCTTCTATATCCAAAAGGTCAAAGGTGAAGTCTGCAGAGAAGTAGATTTAAACAGTAAATCAATTGTTTCATAGAGGCTCACAGCCACAAAGGAATAATTCTAGAAAGAAATCACTTTCACTCCAATTACCCCAAAATGCACACAACAGATGAATAGTCAGCATTTAGCTGGTGTTTGTATTGTTTCATTTGTTTGGCTGCCCATTTTTGTACTAGTTTATAAATGTCTTAATTGATACTGAGGTGGCTATTCTCGACATCAGATTGTCAGTGTTGGGAAGGTTTAGCCTACTTTCTGTTTGCTGAAAGTCTAGTCTGTCTCACAGATGTCAGACACTGTTAACCTGCAGTTCTCTCAAGTAATCTGCTGACGACTGGATCGCTTTGTTTTTAAGAATCCTTTCTTATCATTATTTATTGACCTTTACATAAACTCATTGGTCTTGAGGAATACAAGCAAAATGGCCCCGAAGTTTTTAAAAGCTGAAAAATAGTCTACCAGTAAAATGTATTGCAGTAGTATGGTAATGGAATGCATTGCTGTTTGGCTGTAACACACGGAAATGATACAGGAACAATAAATAAAAAAGACCACCTAACAGTAAAGCAGCTCCTGCCCTGCAGTAGGTAATAAAATGGTGTAAAACTTCTATATTTTTTGGCATGCCATTTTGTATGCTTCATAATTGACCTTCACATCCATGTTGCAGCATTTAAAGACAACATTGTAAACTTTTCAAACAACTCAGAGTACTTCAGATTAATGTGAACGCATCTCCATTTAGACTGTCGTTTAATTAGCAGCTGGCACATTTCGTTTAGTGCAGTCCCAGGGGGAACAACATGTGCAGTGGGGTTGCTGGATTCAAATTTTTGTGCAGCATCATAAACAAATATCATGGAAACCATCTGGTCACTGGGTGAAAACGTTTACCTTGGCATAAAAGGCTGCAGCAGGTTCATAGAGTGGAAATAAGGCAAGGGCATTTTTGGTTGTGACTATCATCCCCTTCCTTGTGTGTTTGTCGTGCGTCTCCTGGGGCCTATTTCTGGAGCAGCTGGGGAATTTTCTTTTTTTAAAGGGGTTGTTGAGGGATTGAGGTTACCTCAGAGTAGGTGTGGAGTGATGAGAAAGGGCGGAATCTCTAAATACTCCATTTAAATGCATTGTGAGAAAAAGATAGGGGAAGGTGGGAAAGAAAGGGCCAGATAGCAAGGGAGACGGATGGTGGAGCATACTCTAAAAGACAGCAAAGTGGAGATGGCAGAGCGTGTCTTTCAGAGAGGAGGAAAAGAGGGAGGAGGGGGGGGATCTGAATCTCAGTCCCACTCACTCATAAATCCTAAAAAACTCAGTACCTAGAAGCCCTTTTTAGAGATTTGAAGTGATGCCTACCTTCCCCACCAGTAAATAGTTCTTTTTCTTTTATTTAACCGGATGCTAATAATTATATTTGCCTATAATTATATAAATGAAAATAAATTATGAAGTACAAGACAGGCATTTGATATATCAGTGATTAACATACAATTTCTGAATCTACTGAAGCATTTCAAAACTAATCTCATCCTCATCCCTAGATTCATGTGCAGTACAACAGCAAGACAACACAAGATGACATAGTAACACACACTGGGACACACTACAACACACACAGTGGGTTGTTTATCTGAAGGCAGCCACTCAGGCATCACTGACAGTAAGGGCAATATGTCTCGGCCTAGTGAAGCAGGAAAGACAGCCCTGTCTACAATTAAGTAACCCAAATACCATTATACACGCTCCCTTTCTCTCTGCTCCACTGTGCCATGAGTCGTGAGGTCTAAACTCGAAAAAAAGCCCCCATCACTTCTCTGTTTCTTCTGAGAGGTTTGAAAGAGCAGTGCAGATGGAGGGAAAAGAAAAAATGATGTTGAATGGAAAAAAAGGAGTAGTTTAAGTCTGGGATGGAGGATGTGAAAACAGAGGGAGAAAGTGTGAATGACCATGTGACAGTTTAAGCCATCACCGACTCTCTGGCTGTTATCTGTCACCACATGGCTCTCTGCTCTCAGCATGGAAAGAGCTACCTGCAGCCAGCAGTTCATCTTCAACCAGTGCTCAAGGGGACAGAGAGAGGGAAGTGAGACAAAGGCTGAGTGTAGAAGTCAAAGAGGGAAACAAAAGCAATAGGAAGACCAAAATATTGATTGGATTGATCTACGGGGCCCCAGTAGTCTCGTGTGTCTGTTTGTCAGTGGGTTGTACTGTGTCAGTGTGTTGTTATTTTTCGGGTTAAAAAACAAAACTTGGAAAAGGAAAGGACTTTGTTTTCCAGCGCTGCTGAGAGCCTTGAATCATTTCAGTAAGCAGTAAGCAACTCCCCCTCCCACATACACACACAGATGCTGCTGGCCTGTATCAGGGGGTTAATAGTAGATGTTTACCCGTGTTAATGGAGGGAATAATGATATGAGTATGAACTGCTTTTCCCTTTCTAATGATGCTAACAAATTACCACGCCACTCATTTTTAGCAGTGGTACTGTTAATCTGTTGGCTACCATCTGTTGGGCTCCTGCAACCCACCAGCCTAAAGACCCCACCCACCATCCTGCTATCCCCAAATGAGAAATCAACATGCAATAACCAAAAAGACAAGTTGTCCCTAATGGTAAATGAAACAGAGAGTTGTTTTTTGATCAGCCTCATTTTCTATTATATTAGCCTTAATTTTCTTTTTTGCTGCCCTGCAGTGTCAAGTGTCCTTAAGGAATTAGAGGCACACGCGCTCACACGGGATAAAATGCACATTTTTCTCATTGATGGGATAAGCAAGGGCACATTTTTCAGCGGTTTTATATCTTAACAAGCGTGCAAAGTTTTATTTCTTTTCTTTTAGTGCTCATTCACTCCATTCCCTTGCTCTCCTCACACCGCGGCACAGTTGAATGACTCACAGCCGCATGAATCAGCCCAGTCAGATCCAGCCTGAGCTATTTTTAGCCTGCCCATTAAGAAGTTTTGGAGTGTGTCTGCACTCCCCTAGAATGCTTAAACATCAGTGTTGCTGCGGCAGCTGAGACTGACATGAACAGAGCATCACGGAGGGTAGGGTGGAAGAGAGAGGGGTAAGGAACGATAGGGAGGTAGTGCAATGGACTGGAGAGGAATCACACAGGAAGTCATCTGGTCACAAGTGTGGAATTTTCAGCGCAATTTCCCCTTTGTAGCTCGGTTCTGCAGGCATGTCTGAGGTGCAAGGGCAATACTGTAATTATCTGTGTCTGCTTATTGACAGTGTTTGATGATGCAGTATAGTACAATTTTCTTGGCATTTCAGAAGATTCTCAATGCTCGGCT